TATTTTGCAAAAAGTTGATTATAAGTGAGATATATTATCACTACAAAAAAAAGTGCGATATATTATCAAAATTTTGTAAAGATTGTTTGTCCAATAAGAAAATGCATAACAAAAATACATGAGAAAATAAATTTAAGAAGATGGGCCAATTAGAAAGAATCACTAGGATTGATGACGTTGCAATCTTCAAAGGACAAATCTAAGAAATCTTGTCCGTTAATCTTAAGTCTAAACCTAACAAAAACGATACTGAGTCGATTGCTCTTCATCCGGCGATTGCTCCTTCTCCTCTTCAACCTTCAGCAGCGGCTGAGCGTCGCCTCCTCCTCCTAAAGTCGGTTTCAAATATCTTTCCGATCTCTCCTCCTAAATCGGCCGAGCTCTCCTTCTAAGAGTGGATGATGCAGAGATTTCTTCAGCCTCGTTTCTTGGAGACAAGTACTCTGAGAATTGCTGAAACTCGAGGTTAACGTTTCTGACCTAGGTCTCCTTCTCTCTCTACAGCAAGTGTTTTGTTTGTGATTTCTCTCTCTGTCTCTGTTGCTTGGTCGTTTGGTTCCCAAAAGCCTGCTGTTTGGTCGCGATTAGTTAGTTTAAAGTAGATCATTACCATGTTTGATTATCGAAGCTCCTTCTGTTGGAAATTTCCGTTTTGTTTGCTTTGAAATTGACTATTTCGACTTGAAATACTTGTGTATGCAACTTCTTGTTTGGGAAAATAGACTCTTGTCTCTGAATTTTCTTCTGGTTTTTACCTTAGAAACGATGTTACATGTGTCTTTTAAAATCTGAAAGACAAAGAGATGGAAGCGAATCTAAAGCAGAAAATGCTGCAAAATAATAGATATATTTTGTTTTCAGGCCTCTTAGAGATATTATGTTGCTTTCAAGTTTGTTCAATTTACTCCCTCTCAATCTCGGTCAGATATATGTTGCTGTAAACAGATTCCATCTACGGTTTCATCAACGACTCAGTGCGTTGCTTTGTATTATATTCACTTTGACATGTTTTGTTATTGTTTCTTATGAAATTGCTATCTCAGGCTTTCTTCTTCTTCAACGTCCTCCAATAGTTACTTCGTCCAAGTTGATCGAGAAAATTATCAAGAACAATGAAACAAGATGGCTTAAATCATATGTAGCAGCAGGTTGTATCATCCATGATGCTGCACAAAGCACTAGAGCTTGTAAGTTACTGATCAACTCTATTAATCGATCATGTGATTGTTTTGTAGTTAGCTGTAGATTTCAGATCCATGACCATTGATTACTATATTTTGTGGTAATAGGTTTTCTGTGGCTAAAGAAGCTTGTTAAAGGAGCAGCCGGGTACGTAGAAGAGCAGCCGCTAAGGATCCAATAAATGGAAATTTTCGATGTTTCGGATGATGTATTGTCTTTACATTAGGTGATTAGGCTATTCGAATATCAGAAATAAAAATTTGGATGTGTAATATTAGGGTATATTTTCAGATTTCAGTTTGTTAATAACAAGTGAATAAAATTATAATTCAATTTTTTACTATTTTTATTTTCGCTTTAATCAATATTTTATTTTATTATAATTGTATATTTTTAATTATACTATTTTTAAAAAAGGGGGAATAATATGCATATAAAATGTTGCAAAATAATAGATCATAGCATAAATCAAGAATCATAAGTAAATCTAATATAAACAGCAAGAAAATGCCACAATAAATTATATTACAACATTTATCATAAGCTATAAAAATATATAT